ATGTCATACGATGCTATTTTGCCTTAGTCTTTTCAGCTCGTCCCAGCACTGCAAGTTCAGCTTAGTAAATAGATCCTAGAAGTTGTTTGCAAGAGGGTTTCTGGCAAAATGCACTATCAGGAATAAATAAAATTAGGGAAAAAAAGAAAATAAAAAGCCTTTGTTTTATGGAACAGTTTCACTGATCGATCTCAAAGTGCTTTGAGAGGGCAAAGTCCTCTGATACATATCTGGGGAAACTAAGACATGGGATGATCATTCATTTAGTAAAAATTAAACTACACCTTAGTGCTAAAAAGGATAAGAGAAATGCTGATTTTCTCATGAAGAGCATCACATTTATCTCATTTACTCAGCACAGCAGCAGTGCCTAGAAGATGCAGGCATGGATGAGTCTTGAAGTATGCTAGGTGAGGGTCAAATACAAGATAAAAGCTGGTCTGTGCTCCTACGACCTTTCCATCTTGCTATTCGTCTTACAGGAGTACACTGAATAGATTTGCAAGTTAAACCTGGAAAGGATTAAAACTCACAAAAGAATTTCATTCAACTGAATTTCATTCACACAAGATGGGTACCAGAACTCAGTCATTTAAATGAGAGGAATTTCTTTCCCATTATACTTGCATATTAGTGCTCGCTCCCATGGATTTGAAATGCAATGCGGAATAAATTAAAGTTGTCAAACATATACGAGTGTTTCTTGTAAGGTCAACCAGAGAGCAAATACTTTTCGAAACCCTGCAGCTGCAGTGGCTCCCAGCAGCAAAGTGCCCAACGTACAGCTACAATAAATAATAAAAAAAAAATTGTTAAAATTGTGATCCCGCTGAGGAAAAGCACATGTTACGGACGGAGATCCTGCAGTATCTGCTTCTGCTGTCAGACGGAGAAATCTTCTCCCCACCTCATCAGATATGAGATGTTATGTCCTTCCCTTTTGTCACAGCAAAAACTCCATTCTTTAGCTGCAGCTAGAAAGCTACTACTTATTGCCTTCATAGTGTTGCAATTTTGGTCTCCCTGCTTTCTTCCTCGATGTTCAGCTTTGTCTCTCCTGGTTTTGGTGTTGCATTAATTGTACCTTGAAAACCCAGCTTTTGGATTCTTTCTACCCATGGTTTCCATCTCCTGACCCCGGTTCTGAATCTTGGAACAACCTTGGCTTACTGAGTCCTTGCTCCATCTCCTCCAATGCTTCTCCAAAACTCACATTTCCCAAGTCCTTCGCTTTCTTCACTTGACTCCCTGTTCCTCAGCCCTGCCAGGGTAGCAGCACTCTGTCATCTGCTATTTTTCTTCATGTTCTCCATTTCTAAAGGGGAATCCCCCAGACAAAGAATATATAGCCCTCTTTATTTGGAAAAACGTTTCATGCGTTACAAGGGCAGAAAAATCATCAACATTAACAAATAATTTCCATCCCACTCTTGAGAGCTCCAGCAAAAAGCTCAATGACCATGCTAAGGCCACAAGTCAAATGAGATGGGTCCTAAAGTCACATTTGAAATCAGAAGAGTCCCACCAGACCTTTTTTCACTGTTACCCAAGACTGGGACACATGCTTCTTCTCCAGTTCAATTATTTTCAGGGAGGATATTCTGTACTGCCCTTCCAACCCAACAAAAGGCAAGGCTGAGAAAGTTCTAGCCAAAGGAAAGGATCTGAATTTCTGCTGCTGTTTAAAAAGCCAATTTTCTTTCTCAGTAACGTGTTTTTCCCTTTAGATGAAAATACTGAAGAGGCGGGTGTTACTGAAGTCACAGATTTAAGCAAAAATGTAGCCAAACCTATTCAAAACCCAAATGTCACACACCAAAACAAGGCTTTCACGTATGATATTCTCAAAACCAGACATGTGTTCTGCTACCATACCATGTGCAGTGGTTGCCCTTAAAGAGTTTGAGCTCTGTGGCTTTACCACAGAACCAAGAAGGTTATAAACACCCAGAAACAACAGAATAAGAAAAACAAATGTTCTCCATTCCCCAATTCGTACATTTTCTATGCAGTGCACTGCGTTTAGGCTAATTTTCCTCCCTCTCCCTGCCTTAGGAAACACTCTACCTCTTTCCTAATGCTCCGTCTTCCAATTCCACATTTGCAGTCCAAGTCCCCAGCCCAGCCTCTCTGCCCAGGCGGGTGTGAGTTTCATCTCACTTAATTTCAGCCCTCTGCAGCATCAACATTTCCGCCGAACTGGACTGGTGGACCACATGTATAGCCAGGGGAGAGAAAGTAGCACTTTCAGGACACAGTTAATCTACCAGATTGCAGATAACAGTGCAGTGAGTCATGTCCTCTGAGTCTCTTTCTAGTGACTACACAGGGAATTGAAATGTCTGCTTTCTGTTGGCTGGGTGGCACTCAGTCCATGCCTTAAAACAGGAGTAAATCAGTGATTAATGGGGATAGTCGTGTTTAGGAAAAGGACAGACAGATGTTCAGTCAAGAAACATCTAGGTGAGCGGAAGACACGACAACCTCTGCAAGCTGCTTTGCTGGGAACTTACAGCAAAGTGAGCTTTAAAGTGGTATCAGTGCATTAGGTAAACCACAGTAATTACTGATGTGAGCATGTAAGAGCATTCTACCACCACTGGAGCTGATAAAAAGAGAGAAGCGCCTGTAAGCATTGCTCTGGGGAACTTAAGTTAGGAGTTTGCTGTCCTCTAGAGAGGTCTACCCAGCTCCGCTTCCTACAGAAGGAGCTAAGAAGGCAGGTTCCTGAGGCTAAATTATGCTTAGCATGAGAAAGCTTAGTTCTCTGTCAAACCAACTCTAGCCTTGCTGTATATGGAAATATTTTTGCATTAGATTCCACTGCCTAGGTCAACGGCACACAGCTGGTTAGCATTGATTAAGCCAAGAGATAAGAGAAGTGCCTCACTCCCAGACCTGATTTCCTACGGTCCTACAAAGGGTTAATGGGACAGCTCCTGCCAGTTCATATTACATTTTATTTTACGCTGTCTTTCCGACAGAGACATGTACCGGTACAGCAAACTCAGCAGGCATTGAACTGCCTAGTCCTTAGAATAGGACATGCCTCTTCTCCACTGCTAGAAACATTAAAACCCATCTCCTGCCCCATGAGGCTGATCTCTCCTCCGTTGCTGTTTGTGTTAAATCTTGTGCCTGGTGATTTCATCTGCATTGCATTTCTGTCACTTAAATCGCAGATTCATTACTACTAAGATAACTTTGTAAGATAAGCTCTGTGTAACCTACAGTACAGCTAAACAAAATCTCACAGGCCAATTACCATAAACTTTAGGTCTGCACCCCAGCCCCGGAGCTGAGATCTGTTGCCAGCTTACAAATCCACACAGACAGTAAATGACACTAATCAGAGGGGAAAGAAGCAGGCAGAGCTGTAGCTAGCTTGTTAACGGACCCTTTGGGAAAAAGTTTTGAAGTTAGAAAAAGTTCATTACCATTTCAGTCCAGTTGCTGGTATCAATTCCTTCTCTTCACCCATATCAGTTTCACCTTCAGGAGACCTGCTCTATTTAGAAGGCACGCAGCTTCAGACAGGATACGAACCCCCAGGGCTGAATTAGCTTTTCAGGGACATCGGGGAAAATGTCTTCATTTTTGCGTGGTTTGATTTCTTGGTGTCTCTGGGGAAAGGCTCTCTTCACCTCTGAACTGGGCAGGTGTGTGAACTGCCTGGTTTCTTCCACTGCTTCTATCCAGATCTTCAGAACAGCTGGTTTCCTACCGATCCCATCTTACCGCCTTTGTATTTAGGGGAAAATTGTCCTGGTTTTGCATGTTGCCGTTTTAACTTGACATCAGAATAATGTCAGCGCTGGTGACACACAGCCACATGACAGAGGAAATTCTGAGTTTAGGTTATTGTGGCATGACTCATTGTCTGCGTTTACCTAATACTAAAAATACCTGTAAGAAATTTTCCTCATTCATTTCTTCTGGACAAAAGGTGGTGTTCTGATGCCTTGTCTAACACTGCTCTAACAACTCAGACATGGAAGAGAAATAGACTGGAGAGCTTCATAAATCTTAATCCTACTGGCACAGCTACTATGAGCAGTTTTGTGTTGGGTCATGTATTTGAATCAGAAACCTCAGGGAAGAAACCCAAGCATCGAAGAAACTGATGGTGATTTAGCTAAGGGGTTTCTTTCCCCTGAGCACGAATAACGATGCTAGATGATGAGGGTAACCAAAGACAGTTAAGCTTTATTTAGCACATGGCAATGAACTTGCAAAAGACAGGGCATGGCAAGGTATTCTGCTTGGCACCAGCCTCCAATAACTCCTATGTGATATCTGACAGCTTATGTGGAAGCACCAGATGCCCTAAGACACCTCAAATGGCATCAGGCACTGTTGCTTAAGCAGGAATAGCAGGAATCCCACCTATCTTGTGGCTCAGATCACAAGGAGTGGCTTCCAGGACTCAGAAAACTTAACAAACTTAATTTTGGGAGCACACCAGAAGATGCAATAACTACTTCTTAATGTTTATGCTTCACAGATGTCTATCATCTGAATTCACTAGTCTCCTTCTAATTCCAAGGGCGTGTGTCCATCCACTATACGATAATATTTGAAACCAGTGTCAGAATTTCCAGAAATGCTGTAGGCACCAAAAATCCACTAATATAGGGACAAATATGGATTCCCAGCTGCCTTAGGAGAGCTGCACATTCTAGCAGTTCTGCAACGGATAGCAGTGCTAAATCCCATGAATGCAATTACACCAACCTCTCTGTTTGGCCCATTTCAATACATCATGTTAGTACCTCTAAGGGCAAAGAAATTGAGTCACAGGGCACTTTTGGGGTGTAGGAGATAAGAATGGTAGGTGGGAGCTGATGAAGCTTGTGAATGAAGGCAAGGGAGGACAAAAGACATTGGGCTCGAAAGAGGAGGAGATGGGGACACACAGCACCTTGTCACGTGCATGGAGAATTGGAGGATGTGGGGAAGGAAAATGAGGAGGCAAACAAAACCACAAAAGACTTGAAGGTGATGTGAGGACAGCCTTTTAAACCAATACTAGCAGGAGTGTAGGCCTGGACTTGCTGTGAAGGGATGCAGAATCTAGAAGAAAGCTGGGTCACCAGAGGCTACAAGGCAGGTTACACCTAGGTTTGCAGGCCTTTCAGAAGATTTTATATTTTCATCAACTCAAACAAATTGACAGACTGATTCCCAACCACGTGGAAAACAGCAAAAAAAGGCAAAGTTATCCCCGCTCTCACCCCCCCCCCCCAAATGCAAAAATTCAGAAATCTAGTCAAGGAGTAGATCTACACTACCATTCCCTAGTTTCCTGGCTTCTTCCCATCCTTTGGCTCTGTTACCACCCACATGGCAGGGATTTTGATATTTTAGGGGCAAACCATGCAGTTTTCTCCGGCACAAAGACTGAATGAAGTTCTACGGATGATTCACTCCAGAGGTCATTCTCTGTAGGCAATTCGATCCAGACCTCACCAGCTCTGCTTCCTTTCTGCACAGACATCCCACACTATGCCAGGAGGTCCAGTGCCATGAAGCACCCCTGCACACCTGTATGCCACCACCTACGGCCTCTGCAGCTTTGGGGCATACTTATTCTTCCCTGACGGTAGTTTGAATACAGCAATTAGCTTGAACCTGTGATGCTGCTAAATGTCAAAGCACTGGGAGCACTTCTGGGCCAAATTATAGCTTCCATTCTGAGAGTTCACTGAGTGTGTAGCCATTATCAGGAGTTATTATCACATCTACTGCCACAATGCCCGGACTCCTGGCTGATAATTAGGATTCATTTGTGTTAGGCATGATACAAATAGCTGACCAACGCAGGAAGTTTAGGATCCAAATATAAGGCAAAAAGGTACAGAAGTAATACTGATCAGCATGTTGAGTGCCTATTTGGTCTTGAAAGATGAGTAAAAGACTACTTAAGGAAAAGCACCTCTGAAATCTGTAAGATACTTAAAGACAGTGAAGAGGAATAATGGCAACTTGAAATGTCCGTGTTCGTGCAAGGGTCCTCCCAGTGTGAGGACTGGTACAACAATAAACACCAAAACTGATGACTTTGATATCAGATATGTTGGTGAGGAGGTCTAGCATGGGAAGAGAAGCCAATGTTTTGAAAGGATATGACAGTTGATAAGGAGAAAGTTCTTGAAAATGGAAGTAAAATATTTGATGTGACAGTGAAGCAGTTAGAAGTCAACAGAGGGAAGCAAACAGAAGGCCACAATGAGACCTAGGAAATTCATCTTTCCAAATGCTTTCTAGATCAGAGACAGGAATGTGGTTGTAAAAGCCAAAGAAGTAGATACTACGGTGATTTAGATGTGAGAAGACAAGAATTTGAGTGATGCAGATGAAATGAAAAGGCTGGATTCTAGGAGCGTTGCATGAGATCCAGCTACAATGTGGATGAGTTGATCCATGAGTGCCAGACTGATGGGTGTCGCTCGCCATCCCCCCACGCACCATTTCTGCACAATCCTTATCTAACACGTGCAAGTTCAGAAGAACCTTAACTTCATTTGATCATCAATTAAAACAACAGTTGCCCTTTATGATGAGTAGGCTAAATGCTGTGGGTTTTCTTAAGAAGAGACTAAAGAGTTGTAGGTTTGAGAGCCTCGTGCTGAGATTCAGATCTTCAGTCTGCTTCAAAGAGGCTTTTGAAGTCTTGAGGGAAACATGCTTTTAGCTTTCAGGGAAAGTGAGAGTATGTGATCTCAACTTGCTGCTAATCTGATAACTCTTTAATTTTAATCACCCTGACAGTCTGTGGTAAACCATGTGGTTAACTATTTCGGGTACAGTTGCTTCTCTCGAAGCCACAGTCTGATGTAGTTTACAAGGCGAATCCTTTGATAACACAAAGATACAAGAGGATTAAAATATCCCTTATACAGCTTAGCTGTTAAGCTGCTCACAATGCTTTTCATTGTTGCCTTCCTCAAACTTTGTGACTTTTACTAAGCACAAAGATAATGAAAAGTAAAAAGGGCAGAACATATCAAAGCGAGAAAATGATGGGTGGCTCTGAAAGAAAAGGGCATTGCAGGACTGGGTCTGGGAGTCGCTGATTGGGTTGCTGTTGGCAAGGCATGGCTTTGTTTCAAGGAGAAGGCACTTTGGGAGTCAAGGGCAGATGCCAAATGATGAACAACTATCGGGGATTCAAGGCCCTTTCGCAGTCATTCTTGCTGGTTGCTAAGGCTGCGTTAATTATGGCTGCAGAAAATGTGAAGACACGATGACTAAGAAATTTTACTCGTAATCGTTGTTACTATTATGCATAAGCATAAAGGGCCACAGATCGTGCACCCAAAGATCCCGAATGCCAGCCCTCATGCAACCAGCCTGTTTTGTGTTTGAATTTCTCCGCCTTTAGGCCTTAAATAATCATTAAGTAGCACTTTTATCAACTTCTAGGTCTCCAGCTCAGCTTCAGTGGGCTTTTCAAGTGCACTGAAATGATTTAACTTAATTCATTCCAACTGATTGAGAAGTATATTTAGATGTGATTTGCTGATGACACAGCACTTCACGTCCTTGTTTTGGGACAAGTTATATTTAGGTTTGCAAACTTATTTCACAGTAAGCTGCTCTTTGGTGTGCTCAGACAGAACTGAGAGTCTACTCCCATTTCCAATGTTTTCTTATAGATGATTGCAACTTTTACTGACATAGTTTTGCGTGTTATGCCTCACTCCGTAGATTCAGGGCTGCACACTCTGGTGCAGGCAGCAGCTCTACAATATGATTGTGTACAGCTTCATTAAGAAAACGTTGGTAGTGTTTCATGTTGCCCATCTGCTGGGTTCAGGCAGGGGGGGCAGGAGCAGGCAGATGGGCCTGGTGCCTCCCCCCACCACTCCCAGCTGCTGCAGAAGCTGCACAACATCCTTGCTCCAGCATCCTTTCTCCTCTAGAAGAAACACAAGGCAGTCGAATCAGCCCCCCCTAATTAAAAAAGTGTAGACAAATGCAAGCTTCACGTCACTTGTTGGAGACACTCCCAAGGGATTTTTCTGCACCCCGAACAAATCTATACTTATAAAATCAACGGCAACAACTAACTCCAATGTGAAGAAGATTTTGGATGGAGGGATTGTTCTAAAATTAAATTAAAAAATGTTCACTTAAAATAGCTAATAGTTTCACCAGACACTGAGAGCCTTTCTTTGGCTTAAAGACAATAAACATAGCTTTGCTACCCTCATGTTCACTTTGCGATATCCAGTTTCTTCCCTCAACTGTGATTTTAGCCCTGCGGCTGGGGGCAGAATTAGGCTTACTTCACTGAGCTCTGAGCATGACCTGGTATTGATAAGACAGAAAAATGTGGGAAGCCCTCTGTGAATAAAGCAGATGCACAGGCTGTCCTGATTCTCAGGTTTTCTGTTTGCAGAAAAATGCCCAGCTCTTCCAAGGACCAAATTTGCTGATGTTACTGCTGAAGCGTATCCAGTGGGGACCAAACTGTATTATGAATGTGACAGGGGCTACACGAGAAGAGGTGGCCAGTACCCAGGAATTCGGTGTCAGAGTATACAGCAGGTTGCTTCTTGGGTCTACAAGAAATTTGAATGCATTGGTAAGTAATTATTATCCTTTTTCGACACCTGTAGAGGGGTGTTTTTCCAATGAGTTAGTCAGTATAAGACACATCTGGGCATTGCTCTAACAAATTATCTTTTGCGCTTATCTTTGCAAATTAGAACTTGCAACACTTCTATCCTGCCTCTAAAAGTTTGAGTGCTTTGGCTTTGCTCTGCTATTTGTCCTGCTGTAATTGAGCAAATATAACTTTTCCCACAGATGAGAAAATTTTGTTGTCAATGGCTCCCACAATGGAGTTAGATTTTACACAGAAGCCAGAAAGAATAACACAGAGCCCTGCACCCCAGAAGCAAGAAAACCTTTCAGAGTTTGACCAGAAAGGTCAGTAAGAGCTCATTCATTACTTCTTCCACTGATTTCCATGGAAGCAGTATAAGAACAATTAGTAATTTTTAATTGTTTTGACAGACAGAGAGAAAGAAACAATTGCTATAATATCTTGGCTGAACAAGTGATATGGTGTAAATGACTACTTTACATCCTAACAAAAAATTAGGAAGGCTTGGTATATCCTGTTTGTCTATATTTTGTAAGAATACAAATCATGTTGTTTCAAGAACAAAAGCAGTAGGTAAAATCTATCTGCTTTAACCATGTGCTGCCTTGTGATCCCGCAGATTTTTGTGGTCCTCCCAGGACTATTCCACATGCCTCTTTAAGCCTGAACAAACAGTATTACGTGGGGCAAGTGTTACATTTCAAATGCCAGAGCGGTTACGATAAGCGATCCCCCATCTCTGGCACGCGCACGTGCAAGAAGGTGAATGGCAAAATCATCTGGACCCACCTTGACATGCAATGCACCAATGACAGCAGCTATAGTGACGAGTGGCCGCCACAGGTGATTGAGCCAGGTAAGATGGTTGTTTTGGCATCACATCAGTGTCATGACATATCCATGCAGGGTCCAGACCCTGCTAGCTCAGCTCATCGATCTTGCTTGGGGTTTGGGACGGAGAGATCAGTGACCTCAGGGCTCTGACACTGATGAAGATGTCATCTCTGACTGATGGAGATGACGTGCCTGGTGAGGACATAGCTCCACCTACTTTGTCTTCAGTGTCCTTTCATACTAATTGCAAAATTGCAGGAATTTGTAAGCAGATAGAGCCATGCTGTCATATACTAGGAAGAAAATAGTAGAATAAGCCTTTCTCTTTCTCCTTCCTCCTGGCAGCTATAGGTCATCTATTGCCACTTCCAGGAAGGTACTCCAAAAGGTTGTAAGCATCCCCCATGATTGTTCAGGGTTTTAGGATCCAGAATTTAGCTAGTCCATAGCTAAACCCAAGTAATGTGGCTCGGTTCTTAATTTAATACTCAGGTTGCTGTTTGGAACAAAGAGACAGCAAGAAGCCCACCAATATTGCACTGCAGTCTTTATGGACTCAGATTGAGCCGGACATGCACCACTGTGGTCTGGCATCTTGAGTTTCACTGCTGAGGGACCCAGCAGGGCTCTCAAGTGAGGCTGCAGAACCTCTGCTTCTTGCTTTTATGCCTTCAGATGTGTTAATGAAAGAAAAAGACGACCTTCATGGCCTCTACCCCACCCAAATTACCTACCTTTTCTGATGGCATCCCTCCTAACTCTACAATGCATAAGTTCAATATGCAGAGAGAAAACAGAGCCCCTTTCTTAAGTGTCTGTGAAAGAACTGAGGGTCTTGGGCTCTCTCTGGGTGGCAGGCAGAGCTGTAGTACGTGGAAGGACCCAGCTGTCCATCATCTCTACAGTCCTCAGGCTTTCATTACCCTCCCGACCTCCTCTGAGGTAGGGGAGTGCTGTGGGCTGAATTTTATGGAGGTGGGAGCCAGTACAAGGTCACCACGAGATGACTTTTCCTACCAACAGTGAGTGGAAAAAAACAATGGTTTTCACCAGTAGTTGGGCTTTTAAAGGGAAATTAATCCTGCAGAACTGTACACAACTACTGCATAGAGGCCCACATCTGAGTTTGGCTGCCTTTATGACCATCAGAGGGGAACAGTTGTTGATGTTAGCTGCCCAATTTCACAAGTCTATTTTAGCGTGAGATGGATTGCACACTTTAAAGGCTTGTTTCTCCCCAGTGACTGTAGCAGAGCCCAGATGACTATCTCAGAGGTCACATCTATGCAATGGTAGGTCAGATGAAAGCCAGCCCTGGTGACCTATCCCAGGCCATGGGGTAGTGCAGGATGGTTTGGGTGGGTCCTTTTGCCTTCAGAGCAATCTTTCAGGTGACACTTAGCCATAGTTGCCTCTCGTTGCTGCTCTGACTGTAAGAATTAATCACCTTACCCACTGGATACACTATTTCAGCATTAACCCAGGGCTTTCTTCCCTTCTTCATAGATCCATCTGTTTCCCTGTGGTGCCCAGTTCAGAGTGTTCCAGGTACAGTAGTCACAATTTGTTGTTTGGTATTTCCTCCTCCTTCAGGACAGTAATTTTTTTTTTCCATCGAAAATTTTACTTGGTACTATCAGAATGAAGGAACTTCTTGCTATGATGGAAATAATGCCTCAACATACCAGTTCTAGAAGATGATACAACCTATTGAATAGTCAGAGATTACAAATATTTGAAATTTTAAAATTAGGATTATGAAAAACATGAGACTGGATGACAAAACAGGCCATCTTGGCCTTCAATTCAACAGAACAATAATTCCAGTTTCCTGCAAAAGTACACTCACACCCGAGCAAGGTCAGGTCTTTGTAATTACTGCACCAAATATTTATTCCCCCAAAGTGTTACCTTTCTTATTGTTATGATGTGATGCTTTTAATGGGGCTGGATAAGGAATATCCTCCTTTTCCTCAGTTCTTGCCCCAGCATCCAGCACAAAGAGATTCATCAAGAGACCACTGTTACAAGACCTCTTCTTAAAACCTGCCCATATCTGATCCTGGCTCAAGTTCAGAGCTTCCTATTCAGGGTAAGGGAGAAATTCAATGAATTTCTTGCACCAAGGAAGTTTTGTGTTACATTTCTGGGGAAAAGAGAGTTCCTGTTTGAAGCCATGTTTCCAAATCTTAGCTTGGCACCTTGAAAGTCATCCTTCCCAATCATCTCACATGAAATAAAGATCTTAGCTGGATCCCGTTCCCTGGAAGACACAGTTCACTTCATGCTCACCATTAACAGATATCAGATCAGCACATATTTTGATATCCAGGCAGGAAACATCTATTGATGACCAAGAAACAAACATGGCAATTATTAAGTCTGCTGTGCAGAGGGAGAGCTGTCAGACCTAGCCTGACTCTATCCTTGTCACTGCTTTGATGCTCTTTGCCGGAAGACCAAATCGATACAAAATCAAGAATTTCTTTCTCTTCATAGGTTCGACTCATCCATCCTTTTCCTCATCTGTGATACTGCCAGTGACAGGTATGCCATTCTGTTAATTGGACTCAGATTTGACCCCATCCCACTGAGCAGTTACTTTGCCTTTCAATTTGCTGTTCTAGCGGAGAGATCCATCTCTGTCCTAAGAGCTAATAAATATACTGCAAGACATACCTATGCCCATGTGTTGGGTGAAATGTCAGTGAAGAAAGTGTAAATAGAGACTGTTTAAGCACTTAAGCTTTTTATGAAGAGGTTTTAAAAAACTCATAGTGGAGGTAAAAGAAAATAGAACAATCAGAAGCCTAGTTTTAAATGAAGCAATTTCAGATTCTTTCTCTGAGACTTTCTGTGAATTCAGTGAATAACTTGGATAACTGAATAACTGGAAAACAGGGAAAATGTAAATATTTAAATGACGTGTTTCTGATATTTTCAAAGGAGTAAAAAAAGAACAGGGAAATAAAATATCTTCTTACAGCTAAACTGATGCATTTAGATCAGTCTGAAGAGATTTTCTTCTCCCCCGTCCCCATCTTCCATTCAACAATTAGCTGCTAAAATAGAAATTGTCTCTTACTGTGCATATACTCAAGACTTTGTACACGGGCTCTTGATTCCAGCTGGAGTCTGCTGACAACTGTAGTGCACATCGTAATAAGGAGGAATAATGGAGCGAGATAAAGCAAAGGAAGGAGTATTGCAAACTATGCCAAAGACCACGGCATCAGTAGCCCCTGGTTATTTGGCCGTGGTTGCTCTTTAGTTGCCCAGGTCCTCTCTGACTGGGTCTTGTTTGCCCCAGAGAGCAAAGCAATGGGACAACATCGAAGAACTCTTGCCTCTGGGCATAGGGGCAAGATGACCCCTTGTCTTGCCCTTCTCTCCCAGTTGGAGTAACTGCAATAATTAAGATAATGCCAGGTGCTAACCATGTTTGTTTTCTATTTTAACAGCTGTCTTTTTTTATGTGACTCGCCACGCAGAGAATACAGTAAGTGGGAAGGAACCAGGAAAATGTGAAAACCTGAAAACAAAAAAATGGAAGAGCTATCAACTGGAACAGCCATCTCACTATTGCACTGCTTCGATTTCTGAATACCTTCTTTGGTTTTAAATGAATGATCCTGGATTATGGGGTATCTTGTTCAGCTATTAATTACTGGCACAAGAAAAGGAGGAATGAGAGCTCTTGAAATCAAAAAGCAAACTTTGTCCCAGCCATTGTGGAACTGAGAAAGGCAGTTCAAATAATGGGTGGAAAATGAATCCCATGGGGAAATTAAGGTTAATTATGCAAATATGTTTGTTTCAGATCAATTCTGCCATCAGTCTTTTTCTCTCTGGCTAACCTGTGGGAAGTCTGGTGGAGCATCTGCCACCACTACCACGTAATTCTTCTTCCTTCATCCCCCTGATTTCTCAGCGGTGTCATGACAACTTTGTACTTCAGACTTATTTCAGGCTGCCCTCCTCGCTGTTTCTATTACTACACTGAGATGCGCAAAGGCTGTTCCTGTTCACAGGCTCCCCAGCCTAGTTAATCCACGATGTCCCTATTTGACACTGGGGAGTTCTCCTTTTCTGCTCTCTCATTGCTAATCCTCATCCCCATTTCTCTTCGTGTTCCTTGCTAATCACTGATGGGCTCTGGTTCTCTGCTGAATGGGGATTTTTCTCAAAAAGGATGACCTTGTGAAACCACATCAGCAGTGCTTTTTTGCCAGTTCACAGTAGGATAAAGCCACAGAAAGCGTAGACGATGCTTTGAAACATGTTTTAGTGAAGATGGTCAACCGTGATGCAGATTGCCTGGGCCATTGTGGGACTTCTGAGAATATGACAGGTGAAAAATTGGCAAGAATTATCTACATTTCACTGGCCCTGTGGTGGAACAAGTGATAAAACAGCCAATACCAGATGAAATAGTAACTGAGATCCGAAGTTGTGTCTTCAGCAAAAAGTACTGGGTAGTTTCTCACAGTAACTATAGAAGAAGCCGTAGAAAACCTGCCATAGAAAACTTTGCTACCCAGATGTAGTAAAGTCTTTTTCCTGTTGTAGAGAAGACTTCTCGGGGAATTGCAGCGTTCAGATCCATACTCATGAAATCGATACCTTGCCACAGAAGAAACCAGATTGCACCCGTGACTCTAAGACCAGCAGTGGCAAACAAGGAGAAAGCCTGGACACTCAAATACAAAGCGTGAAGGAGGCAGAAGATATTATGGTTTAATTCTTATGGGGACAGAGTGACTTTCCACCTACAGAGTATGGGTGGAAGGAGTGCACCCCATCACTGACAGATGGGGAAGGAGCCCTGCCTGAAACTGCTTCCCAGAAACACTTCTCCTCCTCCTACCATATAGCAGATGTATTGCTAATATAACTGCAGCCTCTCCCAAGCGACCAGGCGTACATATGGACCGCTCGCCCAAGCACACTAGATGATGGCACCGTTACTACAGCCCACACACCGCCTTCCCCACAAAGAGAGATGCTGGACACCTGATGTCCCCTGCCCCCCACATAGGTCAAACCCGGTCACACTTTTCTCCTCCTCACATTGTTTCTTTTGGAAAATGAAATTAAACCCATTTACCCTTTGCACGTAAGCTGAGAATCTTAACAGACTCCCTCATGTTTCAGTATACAGATGCATTTGTCATCACCCCCCTCTTCCCAATTTTTTTGGACTATCCCCTTCCACAACAGTTACTACATTATTCCTCCAGCTCAGAGAAGGATGCTGCAGATTGTGGCAGCTGATTAATTTGACAGCTCCTTTCGTAGCTGCAGAGCACCAAAGAACCCAGCGCAAGGGCATTTGAGGACAGACTCAAGCATACACGATACTTGACATGGACTTATATTATTGGGAATTTGTGAAGTTTGAATAGTCTTCTGCCACTTTTTAGCCACATTCAGCCTGGTAGGATGGGGTTCATCTGACAAAATGCAAGCATCTGGGTCTGACAATGGGAAGAAACAGGTCCCTTTAGAGCAGTTCATCTCACCCCATTGACTATATATGTGTGTGTATGTGCATATTTCTGCCACATATATATATATGCACATATATATGTATATGCAGGCCAAATGACTCGTGGTCTAAAGGCACCTGTTTCTCTGCATTGACTGTAAATGATGCTCAGATTGACCAGATTAGCTACAGATGTTTACATAGCATACGTCAAAAGCAAAACGGGATGAATCCCTTCCTTACAATTCAGGGGGCATGAGATCTTAGCGTAGTTTTCTATTTTGTGGTAGTGTGTGTGTGACATTTCTTTCCTGATTTGTATTCCTCTGAGTTGTTCTCACTCCATAGCCTTGATATTTATACTTCCCATGGCTTTTTTTATTCCTGTTGGAATAGGACTTATTTGTACTATGTATCTTTATAAAGATGGATGTGTAATGGTCTATTACATGCTGTTATTTTGTATGGGAGCAAACAACAATCTGTATTTATGCAATAGATGACAGGTTTTCACACCTGTCAACTGTTTTGAAGGCTGCAAGCAGTGGTACTAAGCTCTTCTGCTTCATTTGGGTGATGCTCGTTACTTATTGCTATCATACCTCCATTAAGCACTGCAGTTAGGCATGGCTTGTCCTGCTCAGGGCATTTCACTGGAAAAGGCTCATATTTCATCTGCTCCTAACATGCACATTTTTTATGCAGATAACAAGAGCAGAGTCATACATCTCCTACTGCTCCACTGTTTTTTTCTCCTTTCCCTAGCCAGGTTGGCTCAGGGGCTCTCTCTCCACATTTTGCCTTTATTTCTTGGAAATTAAGGGAGACACACTGCTGGTAAGGGACCTGTAAGCAATAGTGGGTTACAGACTGGACAACTATTATGGAGTTTAGTTTTTCTAGCTATTAATGTCTACACAGAAAGGCTGAACCCAAGTGACCTCCAGCACGCAAGCTGTATACATACTTTATCGGGAAGCTATAACTCGCCCTTGAGCTGTATTTTACCTCTCGGTAGAGCTTGATGGCCCTCTGGGGAAGTGTTTGTATATCTGAGGCTTGATCCTTCAACACAGCATGCAGAGAGCACGTGGAAACCAGTAGGACCATTCCTGGGAGCAAACCACTACCACGGGAAGAGGCTGTGGCCAAAAGGGGACCATCACTGCTGTGCTTTCTCCATGGCCACTGTCACTTGTTTTACATGAGATGTGGTGGTTGATATTTTTATTTTGTAGACTTTGACTTTCTCAGCATGGAACAACTAATAAACTATAACAGTAAATTGTTCTGGATGTTTGAAAGGTAGCGTGTTCTTCTTGCTATTGATCTAAACTTTGAAAAATACATGATTTATTTTCCACTACCCTCTCATTTTAACAAAAAGCATGCCGAACTCAGAAATGTGTCACAGGAAGGTTTATTCTAAAGACCTGTGCTAAAACTTACATCATACATCTGCTATCACAGCTAACCTTTAAAATGCAGGGGGAAACTAAAAATATTTGGGCAATATCTCTGGCAATGATGTCACCAAAATAGATAATGGAAGCAATTAACAGATTTTTACAATCTGAGGGTAGTGGAGCTCTCTTAATCCTAACCCTCCTCAAGGGATGGAAATACACGTACTCCTATACCATGGCCACGAACCAAAGTGTGAGAAAATGTGTTTTTCCAGAAGTCTGCAGTGTAAGAGTCAGTCTGCACATTGCAGTGCGTCATCACATGTGCCTTCATCTAGATGTCTGCATGTGAGCTGGTCCCACCACAGTGGAGACAAGAGAAACTCAGCTATCAAATGCAGGTGTCCACCCAGGTTGAATAGTTTTCCAGACCCCATGGACCACATCAACTAGATCTCCATTGACTCTCCTAGGAGCTCAGACAGCAGCTCACGTGGAAACCCCTACAGATTGATCAGGTTGCCTAAAGACAGGTATCTGAGACACCCAGGGGTGTCAGAGACATCTACATAGGGCTGGAAGCTACAACATGAGATCTATGGGAGGTCTGTCCTCCTCTGCACTGGTAGCTGAAAGCCAAGCAGCACAATTTGTTTGTGCCCAGCCTGCAGAATTACCCCCCTTCCCTTGTAAACACCTACTATAAGACGGGCTGGATCCCAGCCCTAGAAATCATGAAGACTTGCAGAATCTGTCACTCACCTCTGTAAATGCACCGCTCAAGAAACCTAATAAAAATATTTCCCACCACCTTAAGACAAAATATTTTTTAAGTTTAAATTTAAGCATTTTTGGGGGTTGCAATGACAAATAAGAAACAATAATAAGTGGGGAACTTATGTACAGTGGCCAAAAATGGCCCGTGTGTTAGACAATGTAGACAGCAGATGTAAGGCGAGGTTGAGGAGCGCAGGGAGGCAGTGAAAGAGTACAGATCTGCCTCTCACTCACAGCCTTAACACTGCAGCCACCTACACATTTTCTAGATTCGTTTTTACTTTTTCTATAGGAATAACAGCGTGGCAGGGCAAATATGTGCTCACCTGGGGAGTATAAAGGCATGTGAGCAAAGACTTTAGGACACCAGCGAGCACCAGCTCCACCAGTCATTTCCAGATCTCTAATTCTGTAATTATTTTCTCCTCCAGTCTTTCTGCAGAAGAAATTCAGGGAAGAAACTCCCTAACTAAATTTCATTTTTAAAGCTGCAGCATTCATGCTTATACCAAATATGACTTTCTGTCAAGAGACTCCAGAGGTGTCATCCCAATAGTGGGGAGGTCCATGTGGGAGGAGGGTGCAGTCCGTGGCTGCAGGGCAAAGTGCTGCTGCATAAATGGTTTGGGCATTTTGCAAGAAATGAAACTGGTTCTTCTACCCTGCTGACAGCCTCCACCTTCCCACGTCTTCCCAACACAGCCCTTTCCACCACCTGATGTACCTCCAGGACCCAACTGTGCAACACCCAAGAAGTCCAGCAGGGATGAGGGCCCCAAGAACAATGCTCAGAGCCCAGCAATCCTCAGAGAGGCTCCCGGGAAGATGTCACCATAGGTGTCCCCAGGAAACCTCCCACCTCCTCAGGGAAGCTGGTGGCGTCACCACCGCAAGCTGATGAGAAAATCGATTTTGCTCAGCAGGTCTGGGGCGGGAGGCGGGCATCAGAAACACTCTGCTTCAGCGTTTCCAGACCGAAATTCTCAGAATTTCCATTTCAAGGGGAATTTGGAAACTCTTGGGGTTTTGTTCTGATTCAGACTGAAACCATATTTTGAAATGACAAAATTTCCTGTGCATGAGTAGCCCTGTTTTCCAGCTCGCTTTGCTCAAAACCAGAGGTTTCTCTCTCCTCCAATTTTTAGTGGTTTTGTGCTGCTCAAACTCCCTCAATCCTCGATAAAGTTCTGATTTAGGGCAGATTAAGAGGAAAATAACAAAACTGAAGGGTTTTATACTCTTCTTTTTAGCCTTAGCTCACAGTGCACAGTAAAATGAAGATAATTTTATCTTTGTTTTATGGATTGGAAACAGGGGCACTGGGGTGACTTCGTAATCCAGTCTGAGTCCCACTGCAGTGCTCCCACCATTCAGAGTATGATCTCAAAGCCCCAGGAGTAAATTACTGTTTACCATTTTTGCACGTAGCAATTTGTTAAAACAAGTCTTCATTTACTGAATGAAGAAAATGTGAGCAGGTTATTCAGAAAGAAATTAGATTCAGGTAACACAACTGGTGAAAGAGATGCGGTTGTGTAATTTGTCAGAAACAGAGTGCGAATTTACATTATAAGTACTTTACAGAAGCCAATGTGATGCTTAGAAAGCAAACATTAGTTCATAGCAGGAGACCCGGCGTCTTGGATCTGGAAATAATTGTCTCACTGATATCATTATGGCAGGTGGAAAAAAAAAGCCTTCCCAGCAAATATCCCAGGAGTTATGTAAAATCGTACAGATGCAGCATAAAGCCTTTCAGCGTGAACTCGGCACGGGCAGTGTTAGCACTTGTTTTTCCTCTTCCCCAGTTTAAAATGTGATCTCCATTTTCCTTCGTGCTGAAGGTTTCCTCCAAGCCCAGTTTACAGCTGATCTGGTAGAATTTTTTCCTCTTCCCCTTCTATTCATTTGCTACCTCTATGCAAATATGTTCAATGACCCAGTTGTTTTGATGGTGCTATTCCCCTTTTATAAGCTTTCAATAGACTTTTCTGCTGTCTCAAACCTTTAGTTCATATATTCACGGCCCTTCTGCCTATCCCACACTGGGTTTTGCTCTAGGAATTGCTGACCGTGATTTTAGCCCTTTGATTCAAGAAAGGGCACTAAAGATCGGACAGAAGATGCTGGAGAGATGCAAAGATCCATTATTCATTGTTCCTCGGTTTAACCGGTCAACAATAATATTTCACATATTTGGATGAGGAACCAAGAGAGAGAATTGTTTTTGAAGTCTCCAGGCTTTCCAGATTATTTGGTGACCTTGCAACAGCAATGCATAACATGCGAAAATAGAGATGATGTTTGTTTTGCAATACACTGAACATTCCTCTCTTCTAATAGCTCCCGGCAAGATAAAGCAGTTAGGTTAGTGGAATGATATTTTTTCTTTTCCTTTCTATAGATCCACATTTAACTGAAGACAGGAAATCCCCAGTGGGACCTCCTGCGAGACTCTATGGCTTTGACCTTCATTCCCGAGAAAAAAGCCTGTTCCTGCAGGGTGAGATTAAGAGATGTGCACTCCCCCTGGACAATCATCTAGGAGGTCAGCTTGGCAGAGCCACAAACAGCATGCATTTCACTCAGGGCCACACACGGTACATTTGCTGCTTCCAGGCAAGAGAGAGGCAAATCCAATAGCTTCAGTGTGTCTGACTCAGCAGGTGGAGATGGCATCTCCTTTGCCCAGAAGATGGCAAAGCCCCAGTAAGGTGCTCCCAGACTGCCTTCCCCATGTGGCAACCAGAGACACTCCTGGAGAGCTTTACAAATGAGCATATTGTATGTAGTCTTGCAAAATGTTATAGCTGCACAAAATCTGGATGCAGCAAAGGAGGTTTGCCCAGCTGCTTTCTCAAGCAGAGGCCAGATGATGCCACTTTCTTGATTTTCTTGTTTTCCTTCTTTTTTTTTTTGGACTGATTGTGACAACATGTTCAGTTCAAGGAGTTTGAACCACTGGTGCATTTTGAAAAGGACTAAGCAAACTCCATGATCCAGCCCTTAGCAGTGAAGCGAGCTTAGGCAGTGGCAGGGCCCCCTGTAAGATGCGTGCCCGTTCGAACAACCCCAGCGGCCGATGCCATGAGCCATAGGTCTCATGGGTCTTAACTCCCAGAATCCCCTCACAGCTCCTGGGCAACATCATTTTTCCTTCGTGTCTAAAATCCCAGCAACCCACTAGTGCCCAGAGCTCTCCCCAAAGATGGACGAACACAGAGCAAACTGTGAGATTACCTTCCCATCTCAGCGCAGCTGTATCTTCACAGTGGACAGAGAAGCTTCCCACCCCACCAGGGGGCCACACGCTCCAGGCATGGACTGGCTATGGGCTCACCAAAGGGCTGTATCCATATTCCCCGTTCATAGCCAGGGGCAGCAGAAACCAGAGTAAATCACAGCCGAAAGCTGCCTGGGAGGATGCTCCTGGAGCTGGGGACCATGGGGCTGGGGCAGCCCTCTGCTCAGCTCCAAGCTGGGGTGCTGTGTGAGACACTGAGACACCTCTGATATCTGCTGGAAGGCAGCCTCCAAGGTGATTCTTTTTTTTTTTTTTTTTTTTTTTTTTGGCTTCCTATGTATTTTACATGATTGCTGTGGAAGGGAGAATGTTTCTGGGTACTGCCAGGGGAAAAGGTCCTGGGGAGAGCCCAGGGAGCTGATGGAGGGGTGACTCATGGGGGTGGTCGGGGAGTGGGGGATTCCAGCAGAGCGTGGAAAGCAGGGGTGGCAGGGCACGGGACAGGTAGTGGCAAGGGTGAGTGTGGTTTCAAGCCGCAGCAGGCATGAGGAGGTGCTTGAGCGAATCAGAGGAAGCCCTATGAGCAAGCCCAGAGGTGTCTGCAGAGGTGCCTCAACCTGAAATAACACTGGTGAAACCCCATCTGTGGTCTGTGTCAGCATTTGAACTGAGGAGCAAAAGTCCATCGGGGCAGGGGACCTGGGACTGCAGGGGCTGTCCAGCAAAGGGGGGTGTGAGTGATGTTCCTACCTTGTCCTCCTAAAAGCAAAACATTCTCCTACCTCACTGAGCAACACAGCTGGCACAAGTGAGTGCTATTGCAGCTGGAGATGACAGGAGCTGAAGTCCACAATGATACCAGGCACTGCGCAGTGGTCTGCGGTGGGATCTGGTTACATGTGTTCAGGTGTCCAGAGCCACTGGAGATGCCCTTGGGGAACCTGCCTGGCCTCTGGCTGCTGGCCCATATGGGTGCGGGTGTCCCTGAGGATCCTGCAGCAGATCAGCCAGCCCCACTGGATGTCTTGCCTACATCAGAGCAGCTCAGGTGACCCAGGATAGAATCACAGAATCATAGAATTGTCTATGTTGGAAGGACCTTTAAGATCATTGCGTCCAACCATCAACCTAACACTGCCAAAACCACCACTAAACCATGACCCTCAGCACCATGTCCACCCATCTTTTAAATACCTCCAGGGATGGCAACTCCATCACTTCCCTGGATGCCTCTATTCATGTAGTTGAGCCATGCCTGGGTCTCTGCTGGCTGCAATCAGAGCTCAGACACCCAGCACACATGGAGACACCTGCATGTAGGTGTCTGATTCTGCACCTGAACCCCACCCCGCACTTCTGTGCAGCCTCCAAAGACATTTGTCTGGGATGAGCGATGAGACCCAGCAGGCTGACGAACAGCTCCTGAGCTGAGAAGTTCAGGCTCAAGCCAGTATCTCCATAAGTGAAACAGTTTGTATGAGCTGTTTGCACCGCGATACACTTTGTTCATGCACATTCATAGGAAAAGTAACTGGAGTCTGAGCGTGACACTTTTGTAGGTGTTATGGCATCTTCAGATTCCATTGGGACAGCCTACCTCCTGCAAGGATGCTGTAGGTACTGGGGCATTACCAGTAGTGGAAATTTCAGTGAGAAGCAATTCTGGTTTACATGTGAGGTGACCCTACAATCCGGCACTGGAGCAAATAATTTATACTGTGAACTACTCGGAATCTAAATTATATGTCATACATTGATCTTTTACACTCATTGAATATATTTCACAAAATCAGTTATACATAAATCTGCAGAAAAGGTTCAGAAATAGAGCGGAGAATGAAATCCAACCAGTGTATCACAGAAATGTATCTTCGATTGATCAAAGCCTGCTGTGTATCTGATCCCTGAGCCTGGCTGTCTGAGCCTCAGCTCCTGCTCTCAACGTGTGTGGTCCAAAAGCAAGAAAATAAAAACCTGCTGGTAAATTTACCTAAGGAAGGTGTTCATAAGTTCAGGGATAGGGAGCCTAGTGATTAATGTAGGTTATTTCCTTCCTTCTCCTTGTTTTACCTATCTACAGATTTCAGGAGAGCTGAGATGTTTCTCCTATGCATGGTTGTCTTCCTCCTACC